CTTCTAGTCTTATCTGTCACTTCCCTCCTTTGTTGTCTTTGCCTCCTCAGTGTATACAGGCACATTGCTTTGCACGAATTTTTATTTTTTACTGTTAATTGGCCACTGCACATGTGACAAATGAGAACTGTGGAAAATACATAACATAGAATATAGAATGGAGAAATTTAAATCACTTCTCTGTTCACATATATATGTGAGCACAGCATAAATTTATTTCATTCATTTATAGCATAGACTACCTTTTATTATACATTTGTAATTTGACATTTTGTAGCTATGTTTTTATATAGACAAATTACTTCAGGGCATTTAAATAGCTCTGGGGTAATTGCCTTGTATTTCTTTACATTCACAACTTCTCATTGTACATCATAGCATCTCTTATTGATATTCATCAATATCACCTATCTTTAATATTTTGTCCAGTTTAACTAATTTGCTGAAAAATTTAAAGGTTCCTGGACTCAATTAATTAGCCACATTACAAACACATTATAAAATTATTAAAACATGTTACCAAAGAGGTTCCTAATTAACATGCCACAAACAAGTATGTGAGTCTGCCATTGCTGAATTTGAACTAGAATCCTGTTCCACAGGCTGTCAACAATGGTGGTAAACATGGTCATATAAGTCTCTATTTTTCCTTTTGCCACTGAGAAAATCTAGTTTTTGCTCCTAGCAAACTACTACTAATGTTATAAAATATGATATTTTGTGATTCAACTAGTTATGTTTTTAAGTCAGCATAGTACTGAACTTAACACTCTGTCCTGAGATTATGCAGCTTATCTTAGCTTGTTTTTCACATATTAAATACATGTATAATCCAGGATATTTCTCAGAATTTAATGGAATTTTACCTCTCACAATAGCATCATTTTGAGGATGCTTTTCTACTTCTTGAGCCTCAAGAGTCCTTATTATTTTACTGTCTACTTCTTTACACAACACCAGTTGTCCAAGACGCTGGAGGCAAATGCAGCCACCAAAGAACAACCTAGTAATTCAGTTTGGCTCCTCATAAACTCCAGCGGCCTTGTCCTTGCACTATGCTGCAATTTCCTCAAAGTTTGAACGTTGGTGCGAGGATGATTAAAGAATAAACCAGCATGAGTCTCTCTGACTCTTGGTTTTCTGTGATATATTTGAAATTGTTTCCTTCTACACTACAGAATTCATTTAACAACAGTGTGGACTCTGCTCTTAAAAAGTCAAAGAAAAGGGAAAGATTTCCAGTGACTATGACATACATGCTTAGCAAGTTAATTTTCTAATGGAATGTTAGAAACATTAATTTTGCTAAAGAAAGAAATTATATTTCTAAACCTTTGCTCATTTTACCCATTTCTTTTTAATTTTTATGTATGTATGTATGTATGTATGCATGTGTGGTGTCTGTGTACATATATGCTATATGGATGCCCACAGAACGATTAAATTTTAGAAATGTGGATTATTATCAAAGAGAATAAAATCTAGATGTTTAGGAAAAATGTTATAATGATAAACTAATACTGAATAAATCATTTTACATTCCTTAAATAAAAAAATCAGGATATTAAAAAGCATACTATTGTTGTATCTCTGAACATTGAAGACCCGATTTTTTAGATATATTGTCAATATTTATCTTTCAGATCAAAATAATCAATATCATCATACAAAAAATTAGAAATTCTAGAAGATAAGTTTGCTGTGGCAACGTATGGTTTCTTTAAACCATCTTATGATTATTGTCTCCATCTTACTTGACTAAATTCCCCCCGAAAAGATGATGAAACAAGTAGTTTAAATCAAAGGGTTGTAGAGACTGTTGTTTCCTACAATGGTGTATACATGAGTTTTATGTCATTTATGTGTGCTAATATCAGCTGTCCACATTCCTTAATCCTGGTGGTCCATTATCTCCACTGTATTTACACACACCACACACACACTCAATGTCAAGTGGCATGTTTGTGATTGATATATCTTGTTTGTTTATTTTCCTGTTAATTTACCCTCCATGTACTATGTTATTTGATTTTGTTTTTTATTTTGTTTTAAATCAGTCTTAAAAGCATAATATTTTTATTAGATCATTCCCACTAATGTGGAATTTTGAGATCACCTTTATGTTAATAATTAATCATTATGTTTAAATAAATTTATTGGGTACTACATAGGTCACCTAACCTTGTTCCATCATTTTCCCATTAATATAGGGCAAATAATTACACCTACCAATATTAGGGATGAAGTCATTTATGTGAAATCATCAACTAGTGCTTTACCGAGACTAAGTTTTAAGTAAATAATACAGTGTTTTTGTCAAGAGTGCTTTGATTCTGTTTTGAATGTTGAAAATATATATGCAGGCTTACAAACTCATTTAATATATCCACAACATTGAAAACACAAGTGCCCTCAACTCTCAAGGTTTCCTTTCAACTTTGCTCTACATACTTTCTTTCCTAAGAACAAAAAGAAATAAGTAAATAAACAAATAAATAAATAAAACAATCCAACTTAGTGGTAAAGCTATACAACCAAATATCTAAGAAGAAATCAGAAATTTTATCATTCTGAAACATAATTTCTATGACAAATAGTGATGATAGAACATCCAAACCAATATAGTGCCCTAACATTTGATTGTGCAAGGTTGAAGGAATGAAGGAAAAAAAGAGAAAAGAACAAGGCTAGTTTTTATTCAATGCCTTGGTTTTGGGTAAGTGTGCAAAGATTAATTATATGCCAAGAAAATCACATATGGCCAAGTACAAGCTCTTTGAAATCGAGGACAAAGCTGAACCACCAACATGGTATTCTCGCATTAACAATCTTCGTGTAAAACTAAATTTTTTTCATTGTCTTTGGTACTTCCTTTTTACAGCTGTTATTTCTTTCAAATATATGTGATAAATACAATTAAACAAATACTGGGACAATAGACAGTATTTTACATTATACTTTCTGAATCTCTTAAATTATCCATGCTAAGTAGAAGATCATGCTTTTATGTTCATATGACCAATGCTCAAGAAAATCTTGAATGCATTTGGTTTAAGACTCTGTCTATCTGTGTGTTTTGTGGGGTGGCGGGTGTTAGACAATTTCTTTGAGCTTTGCATTCAGACAATATTGATATTGTGTTGATTGATAGAAATTACAAGCTGTGTGGATCCTTCCAACTCAATGACTTGTCAAGAAAACCTCAGTCCTGACGATCTGGCTTTCCTTCAGTACTAAGCAGTACATAGTATTAGTGAGGACATTTAACCTCTGAGTGAAGGAATCTTCTAGAGAAAGGAATAACAAGCACCACAGTCAGAGAAGCATAAGACATTTCAGCAAAAGCAAACATTGATTTTAAAATTTCATAAAACCATTCACAGAAAGTTTTTTCTAAGCCTTTGCTACTACAAAAATAGAAACTTTAGGTCAAATAAATTTGATTTCTAAATAATTGACATTAAATAATTACACATTATTTATACTTCTAGGCTGATAGCACACACACGTGCACGCACACACACACACACACACACACACACACACACACACATACACACAGGATAAGGAGGAAGTGGGAGGCTTGGAGACCCTCTAAATAATTCCCTGATGTCATTAATGAGAACACTGAGACCTAAGAAAGTGAAGTCCACGCTCAGCGGTCACTAAACTGTCAGCATCTTATACTAGCTTCAGCTTGGCCTGAAAGCTTTAGATTTCTCGCTGCTATTCCTTACAGGAATTCTCAAGTAACTCAGGTATGAAGAGAGGCCGGGGAAAGACTTGCATTTTGAATGATCGTCAAATAGACATAAATTTTAGCTTTCCATCTCACAGTGAGAAATTTTGCCCAACTGGAAGACCGATTCACTGACATTCCTCTATATTTGCTTCATGCATTTGAAACACATTAAAACAGAGTGAAGCTGTTCTCGGCTTCCTAGTGCCAAAACATCCAGAAAAAAAAAAATCAAAGGTGAACTTCCACCTCTGGAAAATAATGTAGCACTGCTGCTCTGTTCTTTCACCTTAGTCGCAATCATCTAAACAAAACCCAAAGGTCATCAGCTAGTAACTGTGACCAATGTATTGTGAAAACATCAAGAGTCTAGGTGTGTCAGACAGTGTTCAGTCACCCTGAGTAGGTGTGAACACGAACCCAGTCTTGAATTGAATAAGGTACCTTCCTTTTAAAATCACACATTTTGGGAGACTCCTTACATTCTGCTACCAAACGCTAGCGTACTAAAGCTGCCCTTCTGGTGTATCTCTTTGAAACAATGAATAAGTAAATTGAAGGAGGTTATTAAAGCAGGAAGACACAACAAGAGAGAGAGCACAGAAAAAAAAAAAAGATGCTCTTAAGCTGCCCTTTCCCCTAGTTATTTGTTAGTCTTTCAGTGTAATGGACCACGAGCAATTAAAATAATTTAAAAAATTAAAACTCTGGCATTATTATACCCGTGTTAATTTCACGTTTTCCCATTACGTAATTTCACTACTAAAGTATTCTATCACAAAACATTCTATCATTGAAATAAACGAATTAAAACCTCATGTGTTTACCTAGCATAGTACAAATGCCAACAGTCAAATTCTTTGATTCTGTGAAATCGCACACCGACCCATTATCGCTGAGTTTAGACAGTGCACAGTTTACTTCTCAAGAACATGTTGAGTAATCATCTCATTCCAGAAGAACAGAGAGGGTCAAACGCAGTGGGGGACATGGGTGTTTAAGAAACTAGCCACGGAGCAGCAGAGCCTGCGAATGCGTTGTTACGTGACAAGGTTGTTGGTGCCACAACCAGCAAAGGGCAGCAGGCGCTTTGCCAGACCCAGGGACCCGCTGCTCCTCCTGCTGAAGGATGAAGTAGGGCTGGCTTCCCTTCCTCCTTCAGGGACCTCTGGTCCCCGCAGGCAACGTCGGGAGGATTCTTTGCCCTAATTATCCTGGGAGGAAGACGCGCCTTTCTCGGAGACCGCTAGGCAACACTCACCACGGCAGCCTGCAGATTACTTCCCTGTGTGGGTGTGCGACGTCGTTTAAACGAGTCACACTTACAGTAGCTTGTCACCGGCGAGGCCTGGAGCAGCAGAGGGCGGGGGAGCGTAGGGCGGGAAAGTGGGGGGGGGGGGAGAAGGAGGTGGGAGGCGCAGAGTCGGGCGGCTCGGGAAGACGCTGGAGCTCCAGACACAGCAGGAGCGCGCCGCGCGGGTGCAGTCGCCTGCCAGCTCGCCCCGGCCGCCGCGCACTCCGCCTCCGCGCTGAGCAGCGGGAACCGCAGCGGCTTCAGCCGCGGGGCTCCGCTCAGCTCCGGGCTCGCGCTCTAGCCCGCTCCGCCCGCCGCACCGCCCACGGCAGCGCTCAGCCCGCAACGATTTGACTTCCCTCTGCCGGCCTCTCCAGTTCTCTAGATCGCTGCCTTTGCTCCACTCTTCTCGCTGTTTGCCACACCACGTTCGCTCTACTATTCTCCCGTTTATCCACAGTCACCCCTGCCTGCGTCTTTTCCCTCCTTTTTATGGAAAACCTCATCTTGATTTAAGATGATCTGTCTTCCTCAATCTCATCCGTTTCAGCCCTGAGGACTGAAAGGGAACCTTCACCGCCATCCCAACCCGAGTGGCACTTTAAAAGAAAAAAAAATCACAATTTTAAGAGAAAGAACAAGAAAAAAAGAAAAGTCTTAAGAGGCAAAGGAGCGGTACTCGGGACCCTCTGCAGACCCTTGACTCAGACCACCCAGGACTGGACTAGTCAGCAGAACTCCTAATTCATCTCATCCAACTAAAAAGAGGGAGATCCAGCTAGAAGCAAACTTCAGTGGTCTCCGCGGAGCCAGATCCTAGATTCCTGCATTTGGAGGGATCGAGTGCCAGAAGACACAAGACCCCACCAGGAGGAGGAGTCCCGCGTCTCCCTCGCTTCTCCCACCAAACCTGAACCTTAGACCGAGCCACGCGGGACACAGAGGAGGAAAGAGGGTAGTGGAAAATGCGGGGCTCCGGGCCCCGCGGTGCGGGACGCCGACGGACCCAGGGCAGAGGTGGCAAGGACGAAGCCCCCTGCATCCCTGCCTCTCTGGCAGGCTGTTATTCTGCCCCTCTTAAGGGCCCCCTCTGGACGTGCCTTCTCTTGTGTGCGGCGCTCCGGACCCTTCTGGCCAGCCCCAGCAACGAAGGTAGGGTAATGGAGGTGGGGACAGCGGCGGCGCCCTAGGATGGTCGGGTGAGGTGGAGCTTCTGTCAGCCTCTCTCAGCGCTCCAGGAGCCGCTACCTAGACCAAATCTCTCTCTTTGCCTCCAATTAATGTTTGTTCGCTTTTGATGGTATTTCCTGATCTCTCTGGTATCTTCGGTTGCATTGTTTGACATATCTGCAGAGTGCTTACCAGGCGAGGAACCTGCCTGTGGACTGAGTCTGGTTGGGGGCTGGGGAGTTGGAAGCCTGACGGAAAGAGGTCTGAGACCTGAGCTGGGAGGTTGGGTGCGGTTGGGTCCTGCGAACCTGGAGAAGTGACACATCAGGCTTATGGAGAAAGGTGACGACAAGGCTCTTAGGATCCGTGCGGTTTTCAGAAACCGTTTATTTAATGCTGGTGTTTGGAGATGGTGTCAGGGTGGCTGGTGCTTATATTTTGGGGAAAGTGCCTGCCCTGGAGCTGTTATTTAGGGCACCACTAGCCACCAGCTGCTATTCCAGGCTGGGTAACAAGAGCTTTAATTTTTGAAGGAAGGGATCGTGAGGGGCAGAAACTGACGGGTGCCCTTCTGTTTGGGGTCTCCCTAACACTCCAAAGCAAAGGTAGAGGGAGGGTAGGCTGGTGTTAGAGAAGGCAATGTAGATGCTAGGAAGTTGTTCACGGAACCCACCAAGGTTTATCTTATGAGAGAAGACCTGTCCTATTCAGAGGCACCAGGTCCTGGAGCATCTAATCCTCCTGTCCCCAGTCCTTTGCTCAGGACTGTTTGCTTTCCTCGGGGAGAGTAAATCTGGAGGTAGGAACACCTGCTGGTCTCAGCTACGGGAGAAACCAGTCTTGTTCCATTATATGTCCTTGCCTGTGGTCCTCTCAGCCACTCCAGACCAGCTCCTCTTTCACACTTCACAGCTTGCTCTGGGCTCAGCTTAAGGGCTCAAGGCTCCACATGGAGGGGGCGGGGGGGGGTGAGACATAGGGAAAGGCACTGGGTGTCTCAGACCAGTTTCTTGTCACCAGGAGAGGTCCTCTTCACCATGGAAACATCAAAATCCTGTCCTCTTGTCTAGAAACGTGGGGCATCTAGCTTGGGCTATGGATGAGAGTCCTCAGTTGTAAAACCTTAAATAAACCCTTGCACATGGAGGGGGGGACAGGATATGCTGGACCAGAAAAGATGAAGTAGCAGCAGCAGCAGAGTGGTGTATGACCTCGTGACTAGCATGGATTCAGTCTGCTATAGAAGACACTGAGCTGGTAACCTCAGCGCTGCCAGTTCCCAAGGAACCCTGCGAAGCAGGGCAGATGGAGACTCACACCCCACCCCACTGACTCTCTCACTATGTTTATTATTAAACATCTGTTCAGAGGACTATGTGTATCTGTCGATATCTGTCGGTAATAATCCATGCTTCAAGCCAAACAAGTTGATTTTTTTCCTCTCTAAAGTTTTTTTAAGTGATGTATTTTTGTTTGTTTGTTTGTTTGTTTTAGACTTGGATCTTTCGTTAACCTATTATGCTAAGACCATTAGATTAGAAGTTCAAAGGCTGTAAGAAGGCTAATGCAGGGGAAGGGTCTTAGGGGAAGGAAGGAGGAGGGAGGAGAAGAAGGAGGAAGGAGGGGCTTTTAACGGTTTTATTCCAGCCAAATAGCCATTCTGACTGAACTGCAAAATGATTCAAGGGTCCTATCAACCATCCTTTCCACTACATGTAATTCCAACCACCTATCTACAGCACCCTTGCTATGTGTGTGATGGGGAAGGGAAGTGAACTCGAGGAAGGCTCTCTAAGAGAACTGAAGAATTAAATTATCAAAGAGTGCGATGCCCAGTGTGAACACGGGCCAAGACTAATGAAATGAAAACACGGGGAAGACAGTGGAGAAACAGGACAAGTCTCTAAAGGTTCCATAAGCAAAACTTGCATCTTGTGTGACGGAGCCTGGCAAGCAGAAGCTTTAACACCCACAGGTTGCACAGCCTTTACCAAGGAGTAAAGCCCACAGTAATGTAAAGCTGACTTGGTTACATGCACATGAGGGTTGGAGTGTCTAACAAAAGCAAGCTGTACTCTACCTGTGGTGCCTGCTATTTGGGGAACATTTTGTCAAGTAAAATTAAAAATTTGATTTAAGTACTATTTGAGGTTGTCCGGTTCATTCCTTCACTTCCCAACAGGACACCATCATTAATACCACCCCCAGATTCTCCTGTTTTGCGAAATCTAGATTCTTTTCTGCTTTCCATTTATTATACCACTGCTCCTATACAGGGAGCCGTGGCATGTGTTCATAGCATCATCCTTCATTATTTATTTAATGGAGAAAATGAAATATTTCTTTAAGTTGTTATTATTTTTTATGGAAGAACTTTGGAAGTTCTAGTGCAGAAATACTTGATTGACATGCCAAATTTATTAATAAATTGATTCATAAAATTTACTGTCTGCAAATAACAGAAACGCTTAGTGATTCTTCAATCATATATGTGTGTGTATATATATATATATGGTATACACATATAGAATATACATACTATGATTATGACATGAAATGTCAGACAAGAAGAAATAAATGTGAACTATCAGTTTTACTTGTTATTCCAATTAATTTTTATTTTCATCTTTTATACACATTGCATTCTAAACAAATTGTACAATCAATATTCATTCACTTGTAATGTATGTGCATAAACCACACTTGGAAAAAACAATCAGCATTAATATGGACAAACCTTTACTAAGAAATATAATTTCAAATATTTTAGCAGACTATTTTCAGACTGATTAAGGAGGATAGCATTGGCGTTGCATCAACAAGTGAATGATTTTAAGAAATTTAATAAGTAAAAGGTCTGTGCCAGCAATTCTGAATTTTTGGAGATGGCCCTGAACTTATTCAGTAACTGCCACTTTTTGCTATCTGGAGATATATTTGTAAACAAGCATTATTTGACAAGTGCTTTTCTCAGCAGGGATTCTTGGCCAATTACTGCTGAACAGCTCTGCATTGAAAATGATTCACCCACAGTGAATCAGTCTTAATTCATTGAAGCTACAGTCAGTAATGCCTCAGTAAAGTGCTGACAGTTGTCAGCAGTTTGTATTTGAAAAGTCCAGTTTCTTGTCTCTGAAGGTTTTGTGTGTTTGAGAAAGTAGGATAGAAGGTTCTTGGAAAAGAAGCATAGAAGGGCAGGGGGTGGTGGTGGTGGTGCGATTGGCTAAAATGACTTGAAAAACAATCATAAAATAGTAAATATTTTCACTGGAAAGAGTCTGAAAGTAAAGTTTGTTTAGGGCTTTTTTTTCTTGGTTTATAATAGGACCAGGCCCATAAAACATATGTAAGGACACAATAGACTTGTAAAACTAAATGGCTTCATTTTGTAGCCCTGTCTTCCTGCTGTAATTCATTTCCTTTTAGATTAACCGGCAGGACCCCACAGAAAAGGACAGTAAAATTGTTCCCTCACCAGGACACTACTGAACAAGAAAAGAGAGCCATTACATCCCTTAGAATCAGATATTGTTGGAACCAGAAGGGACCATGGAGAGTTTTAGCTTTTGGCTTAATAAACCATGAAGATTGGGGGTGGGAATCTTGACATTTTAAGCTCATTCTTGGTATCAGGGTGACAGGTAAGATGATTTCATTTCCTATGTAAAACAGGGGAAAAAAGGATAACAATTCCCAGGCTTGCAATATAGTTTCAACCTACATACAATATTTTTAGCAATGATAACAAAAAAAAGGCTTACTGTTCTGCTTATTTGTCTGGTTGATTGGTTGACTTTTCTGATTGGGTGTAAACCAAACCATTGCAAAGGTGATGCATGAACTCTTATCGCTAAACTCAAGTGCTCACATTTTGATACATTTCTATTCCAATATTTACCATATATATGCACATATATAGGTATGTATATGCTCACAATACTTTAAGAATTGTGAACGTTCAGAATATATGGCAACCATACAGAAAATATCAACCCCAAATGATGTAGCTATTTGTAGACAAACATTTCCAAAGCATTTGTGTCAGTACTGCTAGTGATAGGAAAATGTCAGGGTCCTGTTATTTCTAGCTATTATGTTGGTTGTTTGACTTCATAATTTGATTATCTTTTGTTTGGTGTGCTTCTTAAGACATTGGATGAGATAGGTAACCAATTTCTCTTTCATTTGAGAAAACCATTCCACATTTTCCTGTAACTATAGAGCATGAAGGTACATTATTGTATTTACTGACAGTAGCAAGTTTTATTTTATGGGTCACCATTAATTCTTAAAAAATATTACTAACTTATTTTAAAAGCCATATTTTTAATTTAAATTGGCAGATATACATTATTAGTAAATGGGATGAGTTTTGGTTTGATGTATTTAGCTGTCTGAATATTATTATGATACTTTGAAATCTTATACTACTTTTACAAGAATTTTCATAAAGTATCCCGAATTATTTGAAGTAGGAATATAAAATTTTCTTATGAACCACTAAAATGCTTTGCTTCTAGTTTGATCACAAGTAATCATGGAAGCTGAATATAGAAATTGAGAACTGGGAAATCCAGAGATTTTACTTGTTCTATATGTGCAGTGGGTACACTTCAATAGGGGTAGAGAGGCCCATACTAACATGCTTGACTAGATAAATATGTAGTAAGTTGTTTATGAGAGTTAATATCCTTGCACACAAGTAATTCAGAAGTTGATTGATAGTAAAACATTTTGTAAATTATTTGTGCTTCAAAATGAAGTGTAACACACATGTGCATCCATAGTTTATATAAAGGTAGGCTTCAAAAGAGGCCTGAAGTTTTTGTAAATGCAGAATGAAATGGTTCATTATTTTTAGATAATGTTTACACTTAAAATAATAAGAAAGTGTATTTATTCAGTGAGACACAATACACCTGGAAAAGACAAGTAAAAGGACATTTTCTGATGAATTCGATAACAAAATTTAAAGCATCATA